CCTTTGGAAATGAAGCCTCACTGGGTTAGCAAATGACCACAGGAGCTCCCAGGTCCGATGGGCCCAGCACCAGGAGACTTAGCGATGTGACCCCCAAGCTTTGGGCAGAGCCAGGAGATTCAGTTCCTTGATTGTACTGAATTGTCCTCACCTCACTTCCCTCCCAAGGAGATCATAAACTCCTGGAGGGGAGGACCTGGACTCACTTGTCTACATCCTGTAAGCCAATCAATCAATCAGTACATTTATTAAAGGACACTCAGACAAAAGATGAACCAGTCCCTATCCTCGCATTCTCCTCAGGGCTTGAAAAATGCTGATTGGATTGACTGGAAACCAGTTGGATTAGAAATCAGATACCTGCTGGCTCCAAGGCCAGAAATGGAATCAGACATGTGGCCCAGAAGTGGCCCTTCTTTCTGAGGGTTGGCAGAACGTGACCCTGGTGCTCTGTGCCCCAAGACACCACTGACCATTGCCTGAGATGGGCATGGAGCCTCAACCCTCTGATGGGCCAGGTCTGAAGGGCTCTGGCCTTCTTGTCATTCCTAGCTCCCATTTCCTGATTGTGCTTTGGTGCTGGCCATGCCCCATCCCTAGAACGCCCACCCTCCCAGCAGCCTGTTAGGGGATATAGCTCTGGCGCTGTCTTCTCCGGGAAGCCTTTCCTGATTCCTTCTCTGTGACTTTTGTCTGGTAGTTTGTTTATAGGGTACATGTCATCTCCCCAATAGAATGCTCATTAGGACCTGGGCCTTTTATTTTTGCCTGTGTCCTGGCATGAAGTAAGCACTCAGAACACGCCTGTTGATGGATGACAGTGGGGGCTGGGACTTGGTGACTTTGGCCAAGCTGGTGCCTTCATCCTTTTTTGACCCCTGGGGTCTGTCCTAATGTGCCAGTTGCTTCTTAAATGAAAATGGGAGTGATGGGGTAGAAGTAGCTGCTGACATCTCTGCCCTTCCTCTCATTAGGACTAATGAAAAAACCCAGATCAACATTCTAGCCCTTCCCCAAGACTCTCTGGCTCTGGTTTTGCATCCTGATTGGCAGGAACCCCAAAGACTGGATTTTATCAAAGGCGTTGGCATCATTTCCTGTGACGTTCTTGGAGCTGAGATGGAGAGATAGGGTTGGTGGGACAGTCTCTTTGAGTTAATTCGGGTGGATGGTGCCCACCCAGGGGAGGACGTTTGGCCTTCTTGTAGCTCTGGGCCTCGCCTTGTGTTCTGTCTGGTGCTGTTGTGTGTGACTGGACGGCATGGCCGGTGGCCCGCTTAGCTGATCCCGTGGCGGCAGAGGCTTGGAGACTGTTTACGTTGTCATTAGGGTTACTGGTATTTTTTATGTTGTTAGTGACCGGTGGGTCACTGATAACGCTGAGGAAAGACTGAAGATCCAAAGATATCGGGAGGGGCTGAAACAAATGAGACAAAATCTCATAGAGAGAAATGGGAAGCCGTGTACGCGTCTGCACAAGAGCAGAACGAGCCCATCGTTACTGGGCTTTAAAGGGGGGGCTCCTCTGATCTGCTTCTGTGCCTGTGAGTGGGGGCAGAGGGCCCTGCGGAGATGCGGCCCCGCTGGGCTACCCCGTGATCCTAGGGATTCCTTCGATGATGGCCGTACCAGCCGTGCCAAGGCCATCATCTGCATCTGTGACAGGAAAGGGCAGAGCAAAAACGGTTACCAGAGAGGGCAGCTCGGGGTCCCAAAAGAATTGATAGATGTTGCTGTGGGAATGTTGTGGATGGCTTCTGCAAGATTGGAGAATGGGGGAATAGAGCGCTGGGCCCTCAGTCAGGAAGGCCTGAGTTCAAATCCAGCCTTGGTGCGTGACTCTGGGCAAGTCATTTAACCTTTGTCTGAGTTTCTTCATCTGTAAAATGGGGTTAATAATAATACCTACTTCTCAAGGTGGTTGTGAGGATAAGACGAGATACTATTTGTAACATACTGTGGAAACTTGTTATTGTTTATCTTTCAGTCATGTCTGATTCTTTGTGACCCCATTTGGGATTTTCTTGGCAAAGACACTAGAGTGGTTTATGTTTCCTTCTGCAGCTCATTTTATAGATGAGGAAACTGAGGCAAACAGGGTAAAGTAACCCGCCCAGGGGCACACAGCTGGTAAACTGATGTAAGCTGAGTCTTCCTGACTCCAGGCCCAGCATTCTGTGCACTATGGTGCCCCCTAGCAGCAAGCCTTAAAGTACCACAAAAATGTTAGCTCTTACAAGCCATTGTCATCGTGGTCAGTTCTGGATTCGGCATTGTAGGAAGGCCACTGACCACTGTAGGTGTGCGTAGGGTTTTCCTTGCTTCTCCCTTAAGAAGCAAGTAGCCTCACCCTTTGTCTGGCCCAGATCCCTGTATTGAAATGAGGTCCTTCTCTGGCCCTAGTGACTGGACTGGAGGCCACCCCATGGGGGGATGGGCTGGTTCTCATCAAGCCTTTGAAGGGCTGCCTTCTGGGGGAGGGCGTTGTTCTTCTTGGCCCCAGAGGGCAAGCCCAGGAGCATGGGGAGGGGGGCCCACGGATAGAGAGAGAGGCAGATTTAGGGTTGGTCATCCAATTGGAGCCTTCCAAGATGCCCACTGGCATAGTGGACAGAGGATTGGGCCCCTAGTCAGGAATATCTGAGTTCAGATCTGATCTCAGACACTAGCTAGTGTGACTGTGAGCCAGTCACCAAGCCTCTGTTTGCCTCAGTTTCCTCACCTGTAAAACGGAAGCGATAATAATAGCGCCTACTCCTACAGTTGGTGAAGAGTAAATGAGATAATGCTTAGAAAGCCCTCAGCACAGTGCCTGGCATGCAGTAGGTGGGACACGATGGCGATGGCGATGGCGACGATGACAGATGTCGTGGAGGGCATTTCATTGTTAGGTGATGATTGGGCCAGAGTGATGGTTGCTGCGGTCCTTCCTGCCCTGAAATTGTACCAAGGTTCCATGGGGATAGAACATGGATAAGGGCCTGGACTACAGGGGTAGAAGACAGCTTCAGAAAGGCACGTAAATGGTCCTGAAGAGTGCCCACATCAAATTCTGCTTACTTAATTCTTTCTAAACTTGGGGGGCAATGGTTAGTGAAGGAGGAGGGAAGAGCTTCAGCCCACCCAAGGTTAGTGCAAATACACAGAAAGGGAACATGAGGGGCAGGGGGGTCTTTGCTTTTTTTGTGGCAGGGCCCCCTCTGGCAGCAGTCTGGAGAAGCCCATGGACCCTTCTCCAATTAATGTTTGGAGATGCACAGAATAAAATACACAAGATTACCAAGAAAACCAGTTCTGTTCAAATAGTCATCCATCTGTCATATCATATAGTAGATAATAAACAGGCCAGAGCCCCTGCTCTGGGGAATGAGAAAGTGGCCTGAGTCCTCTGCAGCTGAATCATGCAGGTTTTCAATCTGCTTGCCGCCTCACCCCTGTTTTAGGGGGAAGCGATTTGTGGTCTGCCCAGGAGTTCTGCCTGAGGATTCTGGGTACCATTCAGTTCAACAGCGTTTATTAAAGCTGAACCCTTGACGGCTGAAGATGTGGACGCAGAAAAGAAAACACAGATTAGTCTGCAATAGCACTGATGGTCCCTTCCGTGGACCAGGCTGCAGGTTTCCCTACAGTCTGCTTTCTGCCACAGGTTCCTGCCAGAACCGTTCTCTTGGACACTCCCATCTGCCTGTGCAGCCTTTGTGACCCATTACTGCATCTTCCTGCAGCATCTTCACCGTCCCTTGTCTGCTGTGCGGCCCCATCTCTCTCCCTCTTCCCCTTTCTTTCCACCTCACTGCATGCTCTGTTCTTCCTTCCAAAGCTCTTCCCTTAAAATGATGCAGAAATGAGGCCCGTTTAAAAACAATTACCTGTTGTATTCATTAGATCGTCTTTTCCTATTCATTTTTTAAAAAAGTAAACACAATGCAGATTTCTTATTTCTCCCTTTAGAAACAAATGGCCTCAACTTGACCCCTTTGTGGGTCAAGACCTTTGTTCAAAATGATTTCCTCTTCAGGCCTTAATCCTGTGAGCTTGTCTCCTGTGCGGCTGCAGACTGAATAAACAGCCTTCCTCAATCCCGGGGCTGAGCACCCTTTGGCTCCCCCTCCCCAGGCTGGGGTGAGGCCCCTTTCCTGAAGGGTGCTCACTGGGAGAGCTGGAATTGAGCCCCAGAGGCGCCCAGCCCCATTCCTGGGTCAAGATACTGACCGGGTGCAGGGTGGTCACAAGACGTGCAAGGAGAAGGGTGGGGAGGATGAGGAGGCTAGGCTGGGAAAAGGAAGTGGAGCTCAGGATTGTAATGACCAGCCTTGGCCTCGGAGAAGGGGGAAGAACCCACTGCTTCCCCTTCAGTAGAGAAGCAGGGAGCTCCGGGTGCAGGACGTTGTCCCAGGTGGTCCCGCAGCCCGTGGTTCTGCTTACCTGCTTTTCCGTTACTGGAGAGGGCTCTTGGGGAGGGTGGGGCCCCTGGTCTCTTCTCCTCTCAGTCCATTCTATTGTCACTGCCACAGTGATATTCTTAAAGCTCAGATTTGACCTTGTCACAGACTCCGTAGCTCCCTCTGCTGGGCATTGGAAGGCCTACCTCCCCCCTCCCTCCCTGACCTTGTCTCCCGGCCCTCCAGAGTCCAGCCAGACCGGCTTCTGGGACATCCCATCTCCCCTCTCAGCCTTTGGACAGGCTGCTTCTTGGCCTGGAATATCACTTCTCAAAACATTTGGTTTCCCTAACACCTGATCTCTCCCCACCATCCCTAAGCTTTACTGTTGTATCTATTCTATATATTGTATACATTCTAATTATATATATACATATATAGTTATGCATATTGTATATATTCTAACATATTCACCAGCTTTCCACGTGAGGGCAGCTGGAGAGCCACCGTGGGGACAAGGGCCGGGACCTGGGAGGAGGGGTGCAGGGCCACAGCCGCCCAGGGGGTCGGGGCCCTGTCTTCCCGTCTGCTCAGGGCTGATCTCCTCTGTCTCTGCAGGCCTTTGGGCAGGCTCACACCAACCACAAGAAGGTGGCTGCGGACGGTGAGAGCCGTGAAGAGACCCTCATCCAGGAGTCGGCCACCAAGGAGGAGTACTACGTGCGCAAGGTCCTAGAGCTGCAGACGGAGCTGAAGCAGCTGCGCAACGTCCTGACCAACACACAGTCAGAGAACGAGAGGCTGAATTCTGTGGCCCAGGAGCTGAAGGAGGTAGGATGGGGGCCTTAGCGCTCTGCATGGGAGAAAGGCCGGGCCGGGTTGGGGGCTCGCGTCGCTGAGATGTGGGTAGACAACAGGCCTGGGTGCAACACGTGGCGAGAGAAGGAGAGCAGGGAGCGAGCTTGCCCAGCCAATCCAGTTAGGCTCCATCCGGGGGCCGCTGGGAGCTTGAGTGTTTATGAGGAGAGGAGTGACTAGATAACAGGGACGTTTTAGGACTTGAGGCTGGCGTGGTACCAGGAGGAAAGGTTTGCATTTCTGAGCAGTGACTGGTGCTCCCCTTTAAGCCTTTGGGCCTGACCAGCGCTGGGCCCGCCTGTCTGCTTCCTGGGAGGTCGCTAGTGGGCAGGAGCCATGGAATGGCCAGAGGGGATGCCCCCTAGGGAATCACACAAGAGAAAACTGAGGCCCTCAGAGAAATAGCTCCGGTGCAGGGAGAGGAATATTCCCAGGGCTAGAAGTTCCAGAAAAGGGTTTGAAAGGCAGCAAGGGGGCTGTGAGGAGAGCGCTGGCCTCAAATCCTACCTGAGGCTTCCAAGCAGTGTGACTGTGAGCAAGTCCCAGCCCCTGTACCCCATCTGTAAAACAAGGGGGTGTCATCTTGGGATTCTGAGGCCTCTTCAGGCTCTGAATCTCTGCTCCTTCAGTTTTCCTCTGGAATTGTCACTAAATTATAACATTGGGCCTTGGTGGGGGACCAGCCGCATGGGACAAAGGGCTTCTGTGAACTGGGGGCTTTGCTTGGATTGCAGGAAAGGCTCATTCCTCCTCAGGGGTTAGAGCCGAGGTCCTGGGTCTTCCAGGTGGGCCTGAATACCCAGCTGCCGGGCTGGGCAGACAGGCAGGCCCACCTTGGCCCAGGTGGGCACCACCTCAGAAAGGCCAGCAAAGAAAGCTGGTTTAGGGGCAGAGTAGGGGCCTGCTCCACCACTGGCTAGACAGGGGCCTCCCTTCTGAACCTCAGTTTCCCCACCTGCAACTTGCTGGGGTGGCCTGGGTGACCTCAAAGGTCTTTTTCCAAGAGTCTATTCTATGAACCAGCATGGATGAGCCCAGGCCTGGAGCCTAGGAGTGAATCACTGAGGAAACTGGACCCCCCCCCCATCCTTTGGAGGACCCAAAGGGCCTGGGCCCATCCGCTCCACTCTTCCTTTCTTTCGCTTCCCAAGCTGGCTGACCCAGGATCTACAGAGGGCAGAGGAGACAACTAATAAATAACCACCCATTGTAGTAACACCAGAAATGACCTAGCAGGACTTCCTGGCTCCAGCATCTCCAGTCGCTGATAACGGGCCCAGACGCCTCCCCTGGGACATTCTGGTGAATCGGGGCAGCCCCTGATAAGACCTGCAGGAAGCCAGCGTGTGGATGGACTTCAGTGGCCCTGAAGCCGAGGGCATTCCCAAGACTCAAAGCCAGATTTCCGTTCCTAGGTCTATGGCTGCAAGGGCCAGCAGAAGCCAGGCTCCCTCCGTTTCTCCTTTATGGATGGAGTTCAGTGACTCACCCAAGGTCGCTCAAGCAACATTCAAAGTGAGGTTTGGTGCAGATGCTCCGACACCAGAGTCAGTTGGTTTCTGTGGCTTGCCCAAAGAAGAACTGAGGGCCCAGGCCAAGAGAAGCCCAAGCCCCGCTGGACGGGCCTGGCCTGGCCGCGACTTGCTCCTGCCCTCCACATGGCCCTGATGGCCTGGCTCCCCCTGGAGAGCAGCCTTGCTAGTACCCTGCGGGGTCTGGGATCCCCAGGAGAGATAACTCAGCCTGGAAAAGAGGCACCGCCACCAGAGGGACCTCCGCAGACCATCTCCCAATGTTTGAAGGGCTGTCGTGGCAGGTGGGTTAGCCTTGTGGAACTCCCAATAAGGGAGGCAGGAGAGATGTGCCAGGGCCGAGGGGGAAGCGGACGTGAGCGTCACCCGAGGCAGGCCTTTCTGCCCACAGGTGCCCTCCTGCAGCGGGATGGGCCCCAGCCTCAAGCTTCTCATAACACTGACCCTGGACCTGGCAGGCACGGGGGGAGCTGAGCCAGCTTGGGAGCATTCAGGAATGTTTGGGTGGCACTCGCTGGCTTGGGGCCCGCTCCCTGGTGGGGAAGCCTGGGACACGGCCTTCACTTGGCCCCTCCGTCTCTCCGAAGTTTGAGGCTCTGCCAAGCTTTCAGGCCTCTTATCTCACTTGGGCTTCCCGATGACTTTGTGAGGCAGGCACTACTGGATTTCCCATTTTACAGATAAGGAAATAGAGGCTGACAGGTGTTAAGTGACTTGTCCAGGGTCACCTTGGACTTCAGGCTAGTGTCAGAGGGGAGTGTCAAACCTGGGCTTCACTTTCCAGGACAGTGGTCAGCCCTAGAGAGGCAAGGGGGGCTGCAGGCCAGGGCAGATATTAACGATCATCACAGGACCATAGATTGAGATCTGGGCGGGGCCTTAGAGACCAGGGAGTCCAGCCCTGCCCATTTTACAGATGGGAAGACGAAGGCATGGAAAAGTTAAGTTGACTTGCCCAGAGTCACTCAGCTAGTAAGGATGTGAGGCAGGATTAGAACCCAAGTGTACGTGGCATTTGTGTATTGAGAGAGAGTTTTATATTTGTCCTGACGCTCCGGTCCTGAGCTGGCCTTCAGTAGTGCTTGGGGTGCCAGACACTGTACGAGGCCCCGGGGATACAAAAGAGGCAGAGCTCAGTCTGATGAGGGCAACGATCCCAGCGCCAGGGGGCCAGGAAAGTCCTCCTGGAGAATTGGGGGGAAGGGGGCACCTCTGAGCAGAATCTGGAAGGAAACCAGGAGGCAGAAGAAAAGAGGAAGGGCATCCCAGGCACGGGAGACTGTGAGAGCAAATGTGTGGAGGCAAGAGATGAGAGGCCCGCGTGCAGAGCTGCAGACAGGCTGTGTGATGCGTGGGACTGTCGGTGCAAGAATGTGTGGGACAGTGGTGGACAAAGCTGGCCTCAGAGTGAGGAAGGTCTGGGTTCGAAACCTTCTTGTGACATCTACTGCATGTGTGACCCCAAGCAAGTCACTGAACTCCTCAGAGCTCTAGGCAGCCCTGCCTCCAGGAATATACCGGCACTCTGGAGAAAGCGTCCACGCCAGGAGGTTGAATTTAGAATGCCTCCTTCCTCGGGGCCCCGGGGCTTCTGGTCTGCTGGCTTTCTTGGACTTCTCTAAATAGACTCCCATTCCCCCCTCATCTCGCAGCCCCGGCCTCTTCCCTCACTGGCCCCTTGTCGCCCTGTCTCTCCTGGGTGTCTCAGGTTTAATGTCACTGCCCCCTCCTGAGACTCTGCTAGCCATCCATCACGAACAGCTTTTCTCTGCCCTGGACTTTTTGTCCCCCCCCTCCCCCCAACACCTTTCCTGGACCTCCCACAAGGTGGCTTCCCCTTGGAAGGGCCGGGCCAGCCCAGGCCCTCCAGGAGGAGGTCAGAGGTCAGCCCCAGCTCCAGGAGTCAGTTGGGGCTTTGGGGGGCTGACCTAGCCACCGTCTTCTCAGAGGAGCCACAGAGGCAGGCCTACCAGTGACATCCTCAAATGATACAAGATCAGCCCTGGCCTGGGCAGCCCAGTCTGGTGGGGAGGGGGAGAGTGGAGGGACAGCCACAGACCTTTCCGGCCTCCTAGGAGGAGGTGAGCCAGCACTTGGGAGTGCCTGCGCCCCATCGTCCGGCCTGGCCCCTGGTCCTCCTGACTTGTCCTGTTCTCCTCCCCTCCCCTTCCCCTCTCCTCTTCTCTCCTCTCCCTCTCCTCTCTCCTTCACTCTCAGAATCCTCCATCCCTCCTCACCCCTGAAGGATTCTAAGTGCCCCCCACTGACCCCCTGCCCCTCACACCCACCTGACACATGGGCACTGGCTCCACAGGACCCTCCTTCCTTGTGGTTTGTTTCCTCAGCCGGCACCAGCCGCGGAACAGGCTTGTCCTTTGAGAAATGTCCTGGCTGGCCTTGCTTAAGCTCTGCAAAGCCTCCATTGCAAGGAACGTCACCAGAAGCGGGTTGGGTGACCAGCACGGAGGGTGCTCAGAGCTTGCCCCTACCCTGCTCCTCCCTCGGGCCTCGGCCGGAGCCAGACAGGCCATGTCTGCACGGGAAGGATGGTGTCTAGAGGCATCGCCCTGCTGGCACAGGCTTTCTGGGGCCTGGCATTCTGAGGCGTCAGATCTGGGCAGGCCTGATGAGACCTGAAATCCTGTTGTGGAAAGGCCTTTGGGGGCAGGCGCTCAGCTGACTAAGGAAAGTGCCTCGTAGACGTTGTCTCACGAGGACTCGTTACCAGGCATTCTGCCCATTTTACTGAAGAAGGAACTTCAGGAGGTGAAATGGAAGGAAGGCTTTATTAAGTGCCTGCTGTGTGCCGGGTGCTTTCTTCCTCACAGCAACCGTGGGAGGGGCTAGGATGATCCCCATTTTACAGATAAGGAAACAGAGGCAGACAGGCTAAGTGACTCGGCCAAGATCACATGGCTAATAGTGCATGCAGTTAGATCTAAACTCAGATCTGAACTCGGCTCCCTGAGCTCGAAGGTGGTGCTCGAAGGAGGAAGAAACCCACTGGATCCTCACCACACCCTGTTAAAAGGGGTGCTCTTGTTGTACCCATCTTAGCACTGGGAAAAGTGAGGATGAGGTTCAGCGTCCCGCCCAAGGTGACTAGGGAGGAATTCAAACTCGGGGCTGAGCCGATGTGACCCCAGGGAAGGACCTTACCTCTCAGGGCTCCGGGACACTGCAGAGCAGGCCTGCTCGGCTGGGACCTCATTGCGCTCAGGAAATCCCAGGTCCAGTCCCTGCCACTAGCAGCTGGGGCGGCCCAGAGTGCCTGGGGCCTCTGCTGGAGAGCGTTAGGGGACTCCTGTTCAGGGCCAGCTGGGGCCAGGAAGCCTTGGAGGGCATGCCGAGTTCCCATTCACCAGTTCTGCTGCCGGGGAGCCCGGGGACCCTGGGATCTGCTCAGAAAGTCCAGACCTCCTCCCTCCCCCCAGCAGGAGC